AAATTTTTGTACACATCTGTTAAAAAGCTCAGTACACATACCATATAACTGATCCAAAGTACAATTCAACGATTTTTGGCATATGCAAAGAATTGTGCAGCTGTCACATCAATCAATTATAACATATTTTCATTACCCCAAAATGAAACCATGTCCACATTATTAATCACACTATATTTCTCTCCAACCAATTCCTCCAGCATTATAAGTAATGCTGCTATGAACATATGTATAAATATTTTTTGTAAGCATGTTTTCAATTCTCTTGGAGATATGTAGATATACATACAGGGACATATACATACACCTAGGAGTCATATTCCAGGTCCCATGGTAGCTCAAAATTTAACCTTCATAAGAACTGCCAGATCATTTTTCAAAGTGGCTACACCATTTTACTTTCCCACTGGCAATGTATGAGGGATCCAATTTTTATATATTCTTATCAACATTTGTTATCACTTGATACTGAATATAGAAATCTCAGTTGATATGCAATAATATCACATTGTGGTTTGGGTTTTTATTTCCTTGATGGCTAATGATGTTGGGCTTCATTTTGGTATTTATTAGCCATCTGTATACCTTCACAGGAAAAATGTTTATTTATTCTTTGCCCATTTTTAAATAGGTTGTCTTTTTACTAATGACTTGAAAAAGTCCTATATATACATTCTACATACAGGTTCCGTATTATATTTTAAAAATCTTCTTCCACTCTGTAGGTCACCCACCTATTTATTTTCTTGATGGTTTTCTTTGAAGCATAAAGTGTTAAATTTTGATTCTGTCTAATTTATGTACTTATTTTCCTTTGTTCTCTATATTTTTGTATCATATTTAGGAAACTATTGCCTAATCCAAAGATTCGCATCTATGTTTGTTTTTTTTTCTAGGAATTTTACATTTAATTGTTAACCTTTGGGATTTTTTGTATAGGCTATAAGGTAGCAGTTTAAAAGTAACCCTGAGTAATGTTTAGTTTTTCATGTTAATAGGGTTGCCTCGCTTTATTCATGGGAGATATGTTCTGAAGCCCTTGTATTCCTTAAACTGCAGATAATATCAATCTTTATACAGATAGCCTCCAAGTCAGTGGTTTTACTTCTGATTTTTTGACTTAAGGATGTTGAGAAGCAATTTGTCTTCAATAGAAACTATACTTAAATTTTTGAATGACGATCTTTTCCTAGGCTAGCTCTTTGCAGTGCTGGCCCGTGGCAGTGAGCTGGAGCTCCCAATAAGCGGTACAATCACATGGTTAACATATATAAAACAGATTTTGTGTCAAATGATTCTGTAAGTGTTCTGACAATGTTAAGGTGTGCTAGGCTAAGCTATAAAAATATTTCGTAGAATAAATGTATCAAATGCACTTTTGGACTTAGAACATTTTCAATTTATCACAAATTATTGGAACAAAATCCCATTGTAAGTTAAGAAGCAACTATATATATACAGTCTTATATCCGATATGAACATATCTACAGTAAAGTTTAATTAGTAAATTAGGCACAGTTAAGAGATTAAAAACAATAGTAGGACAAGTATTAACAATAGACTTTAACAAAAAAATTTTTTTTTAAATTTGTGAATTGTTTACTTCCAGAATTTTCCACTCAATATTTTTAGACTGAGAGTAACTGAAACCATGGAAAGCAAATTGCTGGATGTAGGAGGATTTAATATAAAACTTTCAAGCATATTCATATTCTAAAATTCTTTCCTTGTTCTTAAAAGATGTTGGTAATGTTACTATTTTATCTACTTCACTACAACTTTAAAAAGTATTTATTAACTCATCTTTTTTGTTGTTTTTATTTTGTAGTACTAAAGACTGAACCTAGGGCCTTGAACATGCTAGACAAGTGTTTGACAAGTGAGTCACTCCCCAGCCTTCATATTTCCTTTTTGTGACAGCTCAGTAATTTACAAAGTTTTATTTTATACTTTATTCATCCCCTTTTTACACTAAAATATTTTGAAAATGAACATTTTTTTCAGAATACAACTTTTGTCATAAATTAAATGTTGTAGTATGACTACAAAGTAATACAGAGGTTTCCATAAAGCTAATTCTATCTTTGTATTTTCCATCCATATCTGCTACTTCAAATTTGTCCATATTTGTTCCTTCAACAACTTTTCTAGTCATTTTTTAATCTGTGGGTGAAAAGAAATTAAATTTAAGCAAATTAGTTCAGTTTTTGTAGGTCTTCCTAGTAACTTAACAAAGGGATTCTCCACTTTTTCTTTTTTAGCTTATATTCTAATTTTCACTCTTCCATCATCCCTACTCTGGCTCCCTATTTCCCAATAACACCTCATCCCTAAACCATAACACTCTTCAAGGTTTGGGTGGGGTTTTTTTCCAACTGCTCCCTAATACATCCTCCGTCTTAGCAAAGAAAACATGAATTTCTCTAATACTTTAGAGCTACAGTCATGTAGCTAAAGAAAATGTGTATTTCTGCTCCCCACCCTTCCTCCACTCATACTTATTCTTGGATTTTCACTGATCAGTGCCTTCAAAGTTGACTGCCTTAGGTCCTGTAGCTCCTCCTCCAGTACTGGGTAAACACTTGTTCCACTATTATAAAGGATATCATTGCTCTTTGTGAAGTCAGACAGAACAGAAGAAATCCACTTAACCCAGATAATCTCAAGATTCCTAAAGGATTAGAGATAATTTCTCACCCTTCTAGAAGCATTTACCTCAAGAAGCATCAGATAAAAGGTAAGGTACAACTACTTTTTATAATACTTTGTTAGTATTTTATAAACCTAGCCTTCCAAACACATTTGTCTGCCAAAGGTATGCATTCAAATTTATTTATAATTAAAAAGTTTCTTTGGTTTTATTTTAGTAAAAATTATAGCACAAATAGTAGAAAAAGGAAACAAGAAGCTCTCATTTTCACATTTTTTTAGTTACTAAGATGAGATTCTAAAATAAATCCCTACTTTCTTTCTTAGAAATTACAAAGCCATTATATTCACATCTAAACACTATTATTTTGACAAATGCACATGCACACACATACACAGATCTATATACTAAGCTACATTTGTTTGCATAGAGTATGTTTATGTATTATTACAAGAATATTTTTACTTCATAGACTTTTTTAGAGCTGAATCATTTCCTTTTTATGAAAAAGCATGGCTAACACTTAAGAACAGGCAAAAAAACATTTCCCTTTAAATATTTAAACGGCTTGTTCTAAAAATAATCTATTCAAGAATTATTTTTACCCCACCCAATCATTTAAACTAAGAAACAACACTAACAACCTAGACTATTGCTGTTTCAATTTCTATTTAGAAAAGACACAATATTATAATTACATAAGATGATTATTGTGAAAACGTGGTTTATTTTCACGAATTTTCAGATTTTTAGGTATCGTCTACTAGATTCTGATATGCTTCTTAATTCTTATTTCCAAAGCTTCAGTATTCTCAATACTTACTTTTCATAATTAAATTAATTTCCTAGTGATAAAATGTTTCATTTTATAAGGTTTGTTTCAAAGGTTTAAGAGTTTATCATCATCTCACTGTCCATCTTCAGAAATACACCAAGAGTATCATATTACTAAACAAGAACTCAATAAATATATATCAGATTTACCTCATGCTAACAGTTTTTTTTTAACAAAAAGTTTTTCTATCCTGGTCAAATTTATAGTATTTATAATTGTTTTCCTTGTATCTCCAAATTGAAAGGTTATTATTTTATTGCCTACAAAGATAGAGGCATATAAGATACTATAATTTGTAGCAGTTAGTTTTTTTAAAAAACTATGTCATAAAATGTCCAGATTTTCTCAAAATCCAGAATGCCAGACACTAAATTGAGTCATGAAAGTTAAGATTTTAGATATACGAGTTCTTTGTGCCTGATTTTCTTAACTAAAAATGGTTCTAGTTGTAATTATTTGCAATCTTTTTTTTGTGTGTATGGTGTTAGGGATTGAACCCAGAGTCTTGTGCATGTGAGGAAAGCACTCTACCAACTGAGCTATAACTCCAGCCCTTGAGTTGTAACTATTAACTTCTCTTTCAGAAATGTGACTAGTAAGGTAGAAATAAGTATGGTACTTTAGAAGAATCAAAGACAGTGCTGCCCAGTGGAACTTTTGTGACAAAGACAGTGTTCTATATCTGTATCCATTAGTCATATGTGGTTACTGAGCACAGAAATTGTGATAAAGCAACCTCAGAACTACATTTGAAATTTAATGCAACCCTAACAAATTTTAACTTATATAGTCTTTTGTGGTTGTAGCATTAGACAGTACATGTATAAGGCACTAAAATTTTTAAATATTTTTAGTTACAAATATTTTGATATGGAGAAAAGTGGCTTTTTCAACAGCAAAAAATGTTAAAGGACAATAAATCTTGTCCTAACATGAACCTTTTTTTCCTAACATCATGAAAAAATAATAAAGTCCTGTTTTTCACATGGCAAGGTATGTCATTCCTTTAGTCTATGTAATTCAAGAAAAATGACATAGGTATAGACTATTATTAGAGGACAACCAAGCAATCATTAAGTACATACATGAAATAAAAAAGTAAATGATTCATTTATATTCTTTACAAGCACAAAAATAAGTAAATGCTGAGGTGGGAAAGGAGAAAAGATGCTATAGGAATCCTTTTAGGAATTTCATTCTTCAAATTGGTCTGGGAAAAGCCTGTGGGGAGAATGAAGCTCTTATCTTTCAAGTGTTGAAAGAATGAGAGTAAAAAATGAGTCAGAGAAGATATTCCAGCCACAAAGTCTATCTTTTACATAAACCAAGGTAGATGTGTATTTAGCTGACAAATTACCTATTCTTCAGAAAACAGTGAATTTATCTGAGCAGTAAGAAAAGGAGGAAATAAAATAGCTTAGGACTTTAGAAACTAAATAATTCTTGATTTTTTCCAATTTCTAAAGTTTTAGGCTATTTTTTTTTTAAATTAGGAAATTAAAAGAGCTTTTAAACCTGGTTGTTTTGAAGTCTCTCAGAGCCGTAGAGATGTATTCAGATAAGTGTTTTTCCATGAGTGCTACTCTGATCCAGGCTCTACCCTAAAAGGAAGAAGAAAGAATCAAATATGAAAAAATATATATTTTGCCTACTATTTCACAAAAATATAATCTTCTTAACACATAAAGAATAGCTCATTCAAAATACACACTGAATAAAGACTAAGAAAAATATTTAGATAAAAATAGGTAAATGCTGACTATAAAGAATATATATTTTGTTTGTCAGAACACGTAGGGTATAGCATATCAAACTTTCTATTCTCTGATGGAATAAAATATTCATACTGAGTTACTTGCATTACAGGCTTCTTCTTAATCATATAAAGAAATCATAAGATACAATCCTCTATTTCAATACCTAAGTCAACATGCTAATTAAAATGAGGCCCCTTATGAAACAAGAAGAACAGAGTTCTCTTTCAGTAATAATCACTCTAATACCATTATCCAGAATTTCCCATTCTAGTCTTCCAGAGGGACAAAGGTTTTACATAAGTGATAATGAGCCCCAAACTGCATGATTAATCACAGGACCAAATCATCTGGAGTCCCATGAGAATTCTAAAAACTATTATAAAATATTTAAACTAGAAACAACAACAAAACACCCAGGGCTGAGGGTATATATCAGTGGTAGAATGCTTGCCTAGTATGCATGGGGCCCTGGGTTTAATCTTCAGTACTGTGATACAAAACGAAAACCCCAGAAGTTCAGCATATTCTAGCACAGAATCACAGAAGTATTACCATTCTTGATGGTAATATAATTTTACTGAAAGTGTTAATACCTTTCAATAGTTGAGATTAGCCATACTTTTTTTATTCTCAGAAGTGTCTCTTATAGACTCTTTAGAATATAAGAGATACAATTGAGAAAATTTTAAAATTCAATTAATTTTAATTTCATTCAACCCTTTCAAAAATCTGGAGAGAAAAATAATGAAGATTGAATATAGAAAATATCAAAACACTGCAATGGCAGTTGGGAACAGAGGCAACACTAATCAATATGTGTGATGGTCAACTACCAGTAAAGGAGGAAAAGCATGAAAATATCTATGAATCTGGTGAATCAACCAAACTTGTGGACAGGAAAGGTCAAAAAACAGCCAGTCTAGGCAGTGATGAAATTAGGCTAGAAGCAGCAGTAGTGCTGGGAAGAAAATGAATAATTTGTGTGTAGTTAGCATGCCAATCAACTTGCCTACCAAGCTCAACACCCTCTTTCAGCTTACCCTGTGCTCAGTCTATTGTTCCCTTTGAATAAGGATAGGAGAATTTACAGTAAGCTATGGTTGAATGGAACAAAGGAAGGAAGAGGCAAACCACTGGCTGGCCAGCAGCCTCAAGATTTTCTTTTGAAATTTTCTTTAAAGACATAGAAACCAGCAGCAGTGTCTTGACTCAAAAGGCTGCAATGTCATCTATATAGAATCAGGGAAAGTTGTTATCCAAGAATCAAGCATGGGAGACTTCTATTACCAACAAGAACTATGGAAAAAGTCCTGCTTCCTGATGTATTCATCATGATCCACACAGAACTGGGCTGCACTTAGTTTCCTGTCCTTGGTGTGTGTGTGTGGAATTCTCTGTTAATAAACTGTGCTAATTTTAATGGCCTCTTTTCTTTCCACAAAAGAACTTTTACTATAATGGAAGATAAACCGATTTTAAAAGGCTGTTAGGTCCAACAAGTAGAAAAGCTGATGCTATTAACAAGCTTATAAGCTATAATTAGCAAGTTAAACTTTATCAGTTGATAGTGATGAAGCACTAAAGTTTAAATAAATATAGTAAAAGGAGTCAACACTTCTTAAGAATGCAACTAATATGTACTAGGCCCTGTTTTAACAGTTTCATATACATTTAGATAGTTAACCCTCCCCAAAACTGTGTGAGCTAGGTTACTATTCTTGCCCTACTTTACTATATGAGAAAATAAGAAATTAGAAGAGAGGAAACTCATTTTCTCACCATCAAACTGACCAACATAATTACATTAACACCCATATACTCTACCTTGCTATTTCAGGGGATGAACTGTCATCACTTAAGATAGTGAAAAAACAAGTCACAGAATGGACAAAGATATTTGCTTTTATACATCTGACATAAGACTCTCATCCATAAAATACAAAAAGTTCTTTCTAATCCACAAGAAAAAGATAATCCAATTTAAAAGCATGGCAAAGATTTTTTTTTAAAATTATAGATTAACTTCATTGTGTAGATATCAGAATATCCAGATGTGCTCTTCCTTTTTGTATTGGTTTTAGTGATATTGTTCAAATAATTTGTTCAACTAATTTTCAAATCTATCAGTATAAAGTTACTCATAATATCCTTTTAGAATTTTTAATGTCAGAGGGTATATGGGCTAGCCTCTTCTTCATTGCTGCTATTGATAATTCATCATCTCTCCTTCTTTCTTCTTGAATAGCCTTGCTAGAAGATTATCAAGTATATTAATCTTTTTACAAACATCTACTTTTAGTTTTGTTAATTTTCTTCTGTACAACTGTTTAAATTTTATTAAGTTTGTGTTCTTCATTTAAGCCTTTTTTCTTTTTTATGTTTATATATATATATATATATAATTTGTTTTAATTAGTTATACATGACAGTAAAATATATTTATGCACTTTGGTATGTGTGTGGAATATAATGGGATATAATTTAGATGGGATATAATTTCTCATTTTTCTGAGTGTACATGTTGCAGAATCATATTGGTCATGCAGTCACATATATTCATACAGTAATAATGTCTGCTTCATTCTACTATCTTTCCTATCCCCATATCCCCACCTCTTCCCTCCCATCACTTCCCTCTACCTAATCTAAGGTAACGCTATTCTTTCCTAGTGACTCCCTGCCTTATTGTGAATTTGCATCCGCATATTAGAGAAAACATTCAGCCTTTGGTTTTGTTGGATTGGCTTATTTGGCTTAGCATGATATTCTCCAACTTCAACAATTTCCTAGCAAATTCCATAATTTACTCTTCTTTAAAGCTGAGTAATATTCCATTGAGTGTATATATATATATATATATATATATATATACTCAATGGAATATATATATTCCATTATATATATATATATATATATATATATATATATATATCACATTTTCTTTATCCATTCATCTATTGAGGGACACCTAGATTGGTTCCATAGTCTAGCTATTGTGAATTGAGCTGCTATAAATATTGATGTGGCTGCATCATTATAGTATGCTGATTTTAAGTCCTCTGGATATAAACCAAGGAGTAAGATAACTAGGTCAAATGGTGGTTCCATTCCCAATTTTCTGAGGAATCTCCATACTGCTTTCCATAGTGGTTGCACCAATTTGCAGTCCCACTAGCAATGTATGAGTGTATCTTTTCCCCCCACATCCTCATCAATTTATTGTTGCCTGTATTTTTGATGATTGCCATTCTGACTGGAGTGAGATGAAATCTTAAGAGCAGTTTTGATTTGCATTTCTCTAATAGCTAGAGATGTTGAACACTTTTTTTATACATTTGTTGATCGACTGTATTTCTTCTTCTGTGAAGTGTCTGTTCAGTTCCTTAGCCCATTTATTGATTGGGTTATTTGATTTTTTGTTAAGTTTTTTGAGTTCTTTACATACCCTAGAGATTAATGCTTTATTGGAGCTGGGTGTGGTAAAGATTTTCTCCCAATCTGTAGGCTCTCTCCTCATTTTATTAATTGCTTCCTTTGTTGAGAAAAAGCTTTTTAATTTGAATCTATCCCATTTATTAATTCTTGATTTTACTTCTTGCACTTTAGGAGTCTTGTAAGGAAGTCAGATCCTAGGCCAACATAGTGAAGATTTGAGCCTATTTTTTCTTCTATTAGGCACAGGGTCTCTGTTTTAGTGCCTAGGCCTTTGATCCACTTTGAGTTGATTTTTGTGCAGGGTGAGAGATAGAGGTTTAATTTCATTTTGGTACATATGGATTTCCAGTAAACCTTTTTTATTCTAAGCACAGTTTTATATATCATTTTCATTATCATTACTTTCTAAATATATTTCAGTTTTGATTATGAGTTCCCCTTTTATCCCTGAGCATTTAAAAGTTCTCAGTTTCACTCATAAAAGTGTTTCTACTTCCTTGTTGTTTTGTTGTTACTGATCCCAGCTTAATTCCATTAAATAACATACTCTATGACCCTAATCTCTGAAATTCATTGAAATGAATTATGGCTCATCAAATGATTAATCTTTGTACATATCCTGTGTATGTCTGATAAGAGTATGTATTTTGCAGTTAGCTTTTTAAAGAAATATATATTCCATTGTCCTAGAATTCAGATTTATTTCTGTATTTTGAACTTTAATTAAAATTACTTAAAAGCCCATAATCTTTATCCCTCACAGATCTGTTTCGATTATCTTTTTTATTCTTCTTGATTCCAGTCATTGATCTTTGTTGATACATTTGATGAATTCTGACTGAACAATGGACATTGTTTACAAAATTTTTTAGCATTCAGATACCACCTTTCTCCAGAGCAATTTTTTTTTCTTGGCAGGAGTACAGAATACTAGAAAATCACCCTGTACCACTTAGACACCACCTTTAGGCCTTTTTTGGAATAATCTTCCAAATTTACCTTAATCCCAAAGTAAAGTCCTGCTGGGGCTTTAAATGAAAGCCTGGAGTTTTTACGGCACTCTCCCATCTTGTTTGCCCTTGAACTTTTGATATCTATATCTCCAGTACAAGGCTGTGAAATCTTCAATTAGTTTTTTGATCTCTTACCCGCTGCTTTCATTCTGGTTTATGGACCTTGTTCTTCTCTCTCTCTCCCTCCCCCCCTCCCCCCCCCCCCCCCCATCCTACAGATAACTAAGAGTTGAGTGCAACCACCTCAGAAAATCATACTCTCAACTTCAGACACATTTATCTGCAATTCTTTCCCCTAAATCCTGGTTTCACTGGAAGTTCCATGCTCCAACTTCTATTTTACTAGCCCAGTACACTGAAAAGAACCACTTTCACCTCCACCACTCTCCCCTCTAT